ACCAGCAAAAAAATGGATTATTACCAAGTTACTATAGCCTTCTTCAAACTATTTATTAGCAACAACACAAGTGTCCACATGTAACAAATACACAGTGGATTTTATTTTCGTATGGGACTGATAAGTAATGAAGGCAAGACATGATATACTCCAGCAAATTTCAAACATAAAACACAAATCTCCTGAAGCCCAAAAAATGCGTGCCTAAGATGGAATCGCTTGACGACTTTGACATTGATTATCTCTGACATAAATCGTATTTGATCGTGCCAGATGCAACAACGATGCTACCGAAATGTATTACGACTAACAATTTAATGATTCCCAGATTATCAAAGAGAAAAAAAGGTAACATATGTGCATTCTCCGGACAACTACATTTTCGAGAATTCCGTGAATTTCTGGACAGCTCCTTGACAAATAAATAAACTCAATTAGGAATAAAGATGGGAAACAAATCTAACCATGACGGGGGCACGCATTCGTTCGTTAATATTCGCCTCATATTTTTTATCGAAAATGAATTCTTCCACAGGTTTTGGCTTCTTGCCGAAGCTTTCTAGAAGTTTAATTTCTTTCTTTAATTTCCTCCTGAATAAATAAAAGAAATGTCCATGGTATTACGTGTTAATATAAAGAAATAATAGCATGTTAATAAAAACACGAAGATAAAACTTTTAAGTGTATAATTAATGACATATGACGTTTTCTCACACGTCATACCACTTTAACAGGTCAGCTACGTGAGAAGACTGCATTTCTTTGTTGTGTTGGATGAGCAAAACAGAAGAAACGAAGCTCATTAAACAAACCAATATATTTCTATTCATTTAATCTTCTGACGCAAAATGATCATAATGCACGATCACTTTGTTATGCATGTATTCACATTTACATATTATGCTGTATCATACATGAGCACGTCAGTTATTAAAATAACACATGAAGTGGAACAAGCTGATAATAAATCTAAAAAAAATAAAATAATTGCCTTTTTCTTTCTTCTCTCAGTTTCGCAATTTCAGGATCCATTTTTTTCTGTGCTTTCACGAACGGTGAAGAAAGTTGCATCGTCGACGTATGTAAACGGCCGGCACTAACTTTCATGAGTGGACCCAGCCTTGACCCACTCAGTCGGCGCAAAATGTCAGCCATACCTAAACTAGTTCACGGTGACCTTTAACCTAGAAACATACCAGACTGCCAATACCAGAAACTAGAGTACCACGCATCCCATGTACAATAGCTACGTAATACTTTGTGTAATCGAAAATTATTTAACGGACCGCGAAAGTTGGGTGATTAAAAGTCACCAGGAGTTTGTGGTGATAGGTATTGGTTATTTGCTGGAAGTAAGGGTCATAAATGGGGTATTGGGAGAATTGTTTGTTTGTATATAACATGAAAAAAACAACTAGGAATAGCGACAATTTTGCTATTCAGAAAATCACATAGTGTACTTATTTTCCGGGAAGTTAAATGTTGTATTTATAGCAGGAACTTAGAGTGAGAAAGAGATTTCGTTATTATAGGTAGTGAATTTTGCGAGAAACAACGTAAATAAAACAATAAAAATGACATGGAGTGTAACAATCTGCTTCAGGATTGTACAACACATGTAATTATGTAGTTTAGTCATTTCTCATTTAAATTAGACTTATTTTTACAGGTGTTGCGTTATGGTATGGAGAAATGCGATCAAAATTGTAATCGCAACTAGCGAAGCTTTGAGTAAAGCTTTCACTCGTGCTGTACGAGAAGAAATTAGAGGTTATCTTTTCAAAATAAATTAAAGTATGTGGGAATGGCGAGAGTGATCCGTATCTATTTGTACATAGTTACACTGTACATAGTAAAGTACATAGTACTTTAATTCATATATGAGCACGCTTTGATATGTTCTCTAAGCATGAATAATATTTGCTGCTAAAGCTTGTGCATTTAGTTAAAGGATTATCAGGATTCAAAATTTGAACTAGTTCATCTGTGTAACTGTATCTGACTTGAGTATATTATCCACTAGCATCTAATGATTGAAGTCGGGATTCTTGACTTTCTTCTTTTCAATTCTGGCTCAGGCCTAAAACTTAGTAGTATGGAAAAGTGAAAAAAGGAAGGAAAAAGTAGATACAGGAAGCGAAGCAAAGAGAAGAAATTGTTGTTACTACATAATGTTTATTCATGCGGTCTATCAGATGTTTGAAGCGAGAATGAGAATAGGCTGAGGCATTAGTGTTCAAATCTGAACTAGTCCCAAGTCATAAGGTCAACTTCGTTCGCTGTTTTTTGTCAAAAATTCCTGTTTATCTTACTGAAATATAGCACTTCCAGGATTACATTTCAGCAAGTCAGCAAGCTGCAACCAATCGTGCTCATCAGACTGGTCAAAATCAGAATGAAGCTCGTGAGGCGAGTCGAACAAACGCGAGACTTGGGATATCTTTGCAGGTCTTCTGTTTGATTAAATATATTTTGCTGGTTATCTTTCTTTGGTGCAGTTCTGTGTCTAAATTTGAATTCATTCATAATCCTGTGTTTTTGGTACAGGGAAAGTTTTCAGGAAGCGATGAAAATCCTGAATGTGCAAGACCCACTGAAGCCCGACGAAGTGGAAAAGAATTATAAGCATTTATTTGCCATAAATGACAAAACTAAAGGAGGTTCATTGTACCTGCAGTCTAAAGTATGTCATATTAACTACTTTTTGTGTTAATGGGCTCAGTTATTTTCCAAAAGTTTTCTTAAAGAGTTAATCTATTGTTACAAAAGTCTTTTAATGTGAACAGTTTTACCAATCACAAATTATTCAGGTCTTATTTTCTGTATCTGGTTTTCTCATCTGTATCATATGTTAAGTGACATTAGGTCATATTAATTTGTTAATCACCATTAACAGCTGACGGAATTATAACAATTGTACACACCCTTTTACCCAGGTATATCGTGCAAAGGAGCGGATAGATGAAGAATTACAAAAACGGTCCGGACCTGACATTATTCAGGAAGCAAAGGAAGTGAAAAAGAGTGAAAAAAGTTGATAGTAAGTTTGTTTAGGTAGTATTTATTGACTTCTAGCTAACATGGTGATCTATTTCTGTACCTTTTTGCCGCGAGGTGTTTTTCGTTACATTTTAGAAGTGTTCGAGCTTGTTCAATGATATTTTTTGTTTTGAAATTTTTTTTCTCAGTCTACTTGTTTGCTTGGTAGTAAGTCTTGGATGAAATGTGTTCCGATGATACTGGAGATGAACCGGTCTTGGAACACTCAAGTTTATTATTTTGTAGAGGCGGGAAATGGGAAAGGGCTATTTATTTTTGTACTTCTGAGCCTTTAGAAATATGCTTACCTCGAGAATTTTGAAAAAACAAGGGAAAAAAGATGCCGAGTACAAGGGATATTTTAAATATTAATTATGTGATTTATGTTAATTATTTTATTTCGTTTCGATGCATAACTGACTTAACTGTTTCTGGAATAATTCAATTAAGAGGTTTTTTGTTTATGCTACCTTATTTTGGCAGTATATACATCACAAAGGTCCAAAATGTTTTAGACTCATAAGTGAGCCTTTGCTGTTTATTTGCTCATTTGCATTTGTTCTATTATATTTATGTGTTATCGCTTTTACTTCGTTGTTAGTAAAATTTTAACAATATTGTTATTATCGAATAACTATTTTAGGCAGAACATCCAAAACAAGTGCTTTTTTCTATTTGCTTCTTCTGATTTCGCTTGATATATGAGAAGTCATCGATGAAGCATATTCAGTGAGTAGTAACTATGTATTCATTTCTCGAGAGAGACTTAGACTGTCACAATGTCTTTTTTAAGACCATTTCGTTTTTTCGACTTTCACAATGATTCTTCGACCACTCGACATGCTTTAAAGTATTTGAAATTGTTCATATTGGATTTTATATGATTTGAAACGTTTGTGATCTTCGCATATTTCTTTTTTAGATTTTTTATTTGCCGTTCGATCATTTCTAGTACTTGAAATGGCTACTTTTCCGACTCATTTACTTCAGTCTATTGAAAAGTATGGGACAGCAGCTAGCTCTGATGATTTTAAAGATATTTGCAAAAAACTGTGCCAGAAGTTGATTGACGACGGTCCTTCAAAATGTAAGCTTTTTGTGTTAGCCAAATTTGAGCCTAAATTTTCTTCTGTTTTTCTTTGAGCAAAACATGTTTCAGTGGAGGAATCAATTTGCAGTCAAGTTTATTGGAATGCAGCTGCTGGAGTGCTTGTAGAGGCAGCCAGACGTGGCCTATCTGTGGCAGCACTTGAAGAATTATTGCCAAAAAACGAACTGTCGCAGGCTGTTATTAATGTCTTCAAGGTATGAGTGGGCCGATGACTTAAAGCATTACAACAATGCAATATTACTTCATGGTGTCAATAACAACTGTAATGTTAACTTCCAGGAAAACGAACAATCGATTCGAAAATGTATGGCAACAATTGGTTGGGAACCGCCGCGAGTTGTTGATGTCTCTTGGAAGCTTTCCAAAACTTTGGAGGTATCTTTTTTTTTGATGAAATGAGGCCATATATATTTGCAACACTACTTTGCAAAGAGAAATTAAATAGGAAAATTTCAATCAGTGAAATGAAAAGAAATGAACTGAACTGGAAAGAAAATGACAGCAAAAAACTCTTGCTTACTCCTTGACGTTATCAGAATTTAAGGCCGTTCAATACACAGTATTTTTCACTCAAATTCGAGCACTTTTTACATCATTTGCTAGCTTGTAAATAAGCGCAGACTCGAATGGGGAGCATTTGCTTTTTATGTTTTGGTGAACTCCGTTTGGAGTGATTTGAAGTCTCCGTGCACCACTTTTATTTGTTTTAGACAGACAAAGGCATGAAGGCAATGACTGTTGCCGAAATTCATCTGGATACAATCCCGACTGGTTCAGCAGTTCTAGAGAGGATCTCATTTTGCTGCAATTCTGATGATTTACAGGTTAATCAGCCAAAAAGTTTATTTGTGCTCACTTTGTTCCAATTCTATTAAATTTGGAAAAGGGTATACTATCGATATATAGTATGTGAGAAATTTTCAGAACATTTTGTGGAAATTGAAAGAAGCGCAAAATGCAGTTTTGAATATGAAAAGTTATAAATGAGATTTCATTGTAATGTTAAAATGTGGTCTCCAGTATATATCTCTAAGCAGTATTGCTTATGTAGACAGGTATGTGTTTGTGGCTTTTAGATTTGTAAATTTGACATAAAGTTATATTCAAATCGACATATTGTTTCCAAACTTTTGCATAGCGTTACAAAAAAAATTTCGTCTTAAAAGAAAAATTGCTAAAAAAGATTTTAGCTATTTCATATATCTTTCCTGAAGATTCATGAATTAAATTTACTCTAAATATGTACTATAAATATATTAAGTACTCTATTTTTAGCCAGAACATCATATTGAACAGTTATGATTTCTCCATTCCTCACACGGACATTTGTATCTACCGATCTTTTGTTACCAAAATCAGATTAAGATCTCTTGTCATTGAATTTTCGTCATCAAAATCAGTTTAAATATTTTTCTTGTCGCCAAAAATAGTATATTCCTACTGTATTTGTGATATCGGTTTTACAAAGTCTCCATGCTTCAAATGGAACATTTTGCTTGATTATCAAAGTTTACCTTGAAGAGGTGAGGATTTATTTGACCAGGTTGCAAATGATCTTATTTTGATCTTCTTAATTGGTTGTATAATAATTTGGTTATTTTCTTTTGTTACATCTCTGTGTTGTCATCTTGGACTTTCATATCGTATTTGAATTATTTGTAAATAAATTCAGTTCAATTATGTGTAGTGAAAGTGTCAAGTTGATTACCTATTATACTTGGTGTTCAGCTATAAAACATTAGATAGGTTATTCATATGAAGGGATATGGACTTTTAATTTCTTTTTTCTAATCATTATCTTAATGATTAGAATCTCTGATCATCATCTTTGGATATGTGCGAATAATTTTCTCAGTTGATTATCTCTCAAGAAGGAAAAATTTGTTGTAATTTTAGGCCTAATTTAGTTTGCTAGACCCATCATAAATAACTGCATTAAATTACCACGCTATTATTCAAAAAAAACAAAAAAAATTTATACATTAAGCTGAAAATGATTAAAAAACTATAGATTTTCTAACAACGTATGTATATCGTTCGATTCAATTGATGCGATATTTGATCGTTTCGTTGACAGCTGATACGATGAATAATTATCTGGATAGGAAAAGTAAATCCTTGCTGAGATCATATGTTCATGGTAGAGATGTTGAATTGAATAATCCAAAATAATCATTATTGGACAATTAGTGGGCATATTTCAAAATTCATGCTATCATAAAGACTGTAACAGACTTTCCATGCATTTCAAATCAATGCAAAATAGAAATGATCAATGATTGCAAATATGGTAAGTTAAAGAAGTGTCGCAGATCATTTTAAGGTTAGACTAATTAAATTCTCATATTATGTTATATTCTGTTATTTGAAATCACAATAAGGACCGAAATTTACTCGTCGTTCGTTTCCTTTAATTTTGCTCTTAAATTTAAATTTCGCAATATTTCAAAATGGAAATTTTCGAGTTTTTTTAGGAGTGTGAAATTTTTTATTGAATAAAATTTACATACTTGCATAGGAAAAAAATGCATAGAAATAAATTTATAAAGATTATAAAAGATGTGCAAAGATGACAAACAGACTCTTGCAGTTTAATCAATCTCTTTATTAAGAGGGACGTGGCTGTCTCTCTGTTTAGTATTCGTATTCCTTACAAAATTGCATTTGAATAATTAGGCGTCGAAGGTTGTTAACATTTAATATTAGGTTTGATATGCGTAGGAAAGTTGCAATTTTTGCGCATTTAAAGTAAGAATTGCAGACATAAATGTTTATCAGTGTACACGTTTTGTATTACTTTTCATTAATTAGGTATATGTTTTCGATCTGGTTTTGATACGGAAATTTATTATTCTTTTAAATTCAGCTAAAATGGCTGACAAAAGTGCATTCGTGCCTGTTGAAGCAACGGGTGGCCTTGGTACACGACCAGCGGAACTTGATATCGATATCGATGATGATTACTTTGGAGGTGGCAAAAAGCAGGAGCAGGCACCGCCACCCCCTCCTCCACCGCCACCTCCACCTCCACCACCACCACCACCACCACCCAAAAAGACAAACGATACCAAAAAGGTTTCATATTATTTAGAAATTTGATTGATTGCTTCTGTGAGCGTTTTTGAGGATTCAGTAGTTTTTTTTAATCAAAGATTACAAAACATCCTTACTCATCAATTTGTCCTTTGAAGTTGGAGGGTAATTCGGGAGGTCAAGATAAGGTTAGTGTATTTCTGTTTGCTTGCAAGACTTCTAATGGAGATATATATCTGTTATTGTATGCATGAAATGTCACTAACAGTAAATGCCACTCAAATGGTCCATAAAAGAAGATGCATTTTATAAATTTGAATTAAGCAATTACTAGTGACGTAAGCGTATACTAATTGCAGAAAATCGTTTACAAGAAATCGAAGACATACCAGAAAACTTATGCCTATAAGCGAACATAAATTGTGCACAGTGCGCGAAGAAATTTAATTAATGAATCAATAACTAACTTCTGATATCGTATGGTGTACGTATCGGATTGGCTATTCCAAATAAACAATCATTACTGCTCTCTCAATGCTAAAATACCTTGAATAACAAAGTGTCCATTTTTACATTTTCTAGAAGGCTTAACTGATAGAACAGCTAATACAAATATGTTATTTCTGCTCAAAATTAACACTAGTTAATAATAGCATCAAGCTCAAGTCTAGGAAGCCTGAATTTATCCGAGATCAGGCTCATACTGCCAATTTATGAAAAATATCAGTATGCCCAATATCAAAATCTCCAACATTAAAGCATCAGAACATCTCAATTGTCTCGCCTATTTTTTTTTTTTTAGAATCTTTTCAGATATTTGTCAATGCCATCCTACAGTTGTGACATTTTTTTAAATTATAAATGGGAAAGCAGCGGAGTGCTCCGGCTGGAAAATCATGCTCGGTTTTAGACAGGCTTTTTTTTTCTCCACTTATGATATCATGAATCGACGATTAGAGCAATTTTCCATTTGAAAACCTATCGAAAAGACCCTTGAAACAGCAAAACCGAATCTCTCAAAATAGTTGAGCTATTCCTACCACTAAGTGAAGTAGGAGAGAGGAAAGTAGTAGAGAGGACCTACTTTCTAACGTGTTCAGTTCTTTGCTAAATGTAGGATCAAAACCTTTCCCTTCCATCAGGCACTAAAATGTGAGCGGAAAATGAACTCTGAAATGATACCATTCACTATAATACAATATTCAAACACCGCCCATCATATAATAATGGTAACAAAGAAATAGGTTTTATATGACAGCATATATGCCATGTGAAAAGTGTATTACAAAAAAAAGAAACAATATATATCACATCAGAACGAAACGCCTAGACCTAAAACAGTTCTTGTAAAAAAATACCTGAAAAAGAAAAAAAAGAAACTACCAGTTGTAAAGATAACCATACATTACTAAAACAATACCAATCGCATACACACTCATTTCCTTCTAGTGAAAGAAAAGTTCCTGAAGTGATTTTCTTCGATTAAAAGAAGGAAATGTATGACAAGTCGTAATCCGTCGCCGAAATTTACAAATATATATATACGATATCATAATATTTTACGAAAATAATTCATCAGACCAAAATACAAGTAAAAGTTGATATAAATCCATTTTAAGAAAATCACGCGGAACAGGTATTGAAGAAAAACAAAGACAATGATGTGTTATTTCATTTTTTGGAAAAAAAAACTGACCGACGAAGTGAAGCCTAAACATTTCGTGTCACAGTGGCAAAAAGACTGTATGTACTACCAAGTGATTCAATAATCTTTTTGGAACACTTACATATATCTATGAAAATAGCAAGTTCTTCCAAATGAAACATGATAAGATTCCGGACAGTATAAAGAATCTGTGTCCTTTTGGACAGAACTATCACTAATAAACTCCAAAATCAATAACAAACTATTAAGTCAATGTGCAACAGACAATTACACGCCGAGGAAACATTCCTGTTTGAAGAATTTGGATTAAAAGTAAATCCGTACGGTGTGATTTTAACGGCGAAAGAAAACAGTCTGAATTTATCGCCGAAACTTTTTTTCGTCCTCAAGTCTCATAAAAATAAGTAAAAGGACCGTCAAATTTAAATCAAGAGTTTATCAAAATTGTTTTATGGAGGTAAATAACATAAATACATCCAATGAACCTTATGCTTCATAGAAAGCACTCTTGGTTTTTTTTTTTTTTTTTTTATTTCGTGCACCCCAATACAGCAGACACTGAAGTAATAAAATAACGCCTGCAATCAATAGATCAAACTATTTCTTTCCTTTCTTAGCATTTGGAGCGGGAGTCCTCGGTGGTGTCACTGGACGACCAGATCCAACGCCACTATATGGAAATTTCTTCTTATCCGCTGGTTTCAAAATCTACAAAGGATCTCATTTCCGTAAAAATCATTTTTTCTTTTTTTAAAAAAAAACTTTATGGGACGCACAAGAAATTCCCACAAAATCAAAAGTGGACAGTTCACAGTGATTTTGAAGCACTACTTAATAGTGCTCCAAAACTCCAAGCAAAAATAAACTGTCAGATGTTAGCGATGAAACAGGAAGCCCATTCATAGACAATCTGACCATCAGCAGAATAAAAGAGGAAGTCCTTACACCATCGCTCCGGCACACCCACGTTAGCCTTTGACGACATGATTACCGCAATAATTAGACAAGTCTAGTGATTGAACGCATCAGAGCGTCAGTTACCATGGTACTACATAAGCAGAAAGCTTAAAATGACGAATTGAAACTAACCTGAAATGAACACATAAGCGTTTCATCCACTGTCATCATCGACCCCGCATTGTCGAATTCGCCACAGTAATTTGGTGCGGAGAATAATGTTACCAACTGTCTTTTGGCGAAAAATTCATAACCATCCTCTACAACCTGATGAGCGCGGCAAATGAGATCCAAATCATGCTTATGCAAAAACTTTGCCACAACTTCGGGACCGAAGGTAAATGAAACACCTCGATCATTCTCACCCCAACCTATAAAAAGTCATCTTCATTTCTTGCTGGAACATGATTTTATTTCAAGCAGTGAAAAGCAAAAATGCCAAACCGGTAACATCCTTATCTGGATCGGACCACAGAAGATCGCAAAGTAGGCCCTGGTCTGGCACATCCGTTGGACGCATAATACGTCGAATCTGTTCCATGGATTGCAAATCCGGTGAAAGGCCTCCATGACAACAGAAAATCTTTTCATCTATTATAGCTGCCACTGGCAAACAATTGAAGCAATCAGTAAAGGTTTTCCACAGCTTGATATTATAACGCCGCTTACCTGGAAAAGTTATCAACATTATTAGTCGGCGAAAATGGGAAAAAAACTTGGATACAAGATGTAACAGGTAATTATTACGCTGATGAATGTGACAAGCAAGTCAAAACAATAGAAATAGACTTACACTCATCATAGAAACCATATATCCTGTTAATAGAGGCGCATTCATGGTTTCCACGTAAAAGAAAAAAATTTTCGGGATATTTTATTTTATAAGCCAGAAGTAAACAAATTGTTTCAAGTGACTGCTTACCTAAAAATAAGAACGAGTGGAGGAAAAATCTCTTTCACATGACAGAATCAAACCAAAGAAACTAGGAAATGATAATCAGGTAAGCTC